ATATGTCATTTAATTGAACTTTAAAATTAAATGATTGTCTTGAAATATTCTTAAATGGAAGATTTTAAATGTAATGGTATTAGATAATTAAGTCTAAAAAACTACATTTTTGGAAGGATTGTTTGCAGTTTCAACACATAATTATGATTATAGGCACTGCATTTAGCGCTATACTTTTATTAATGCTATGAAAAATATATATGTTAGGCTTCATTTGAAACTCAACATTGTTAAGTCTCTTGCCCATTGTATCCCCCCTCTTTGCCTCTGTCTCTGTCTCTTTATTTCTCTCTTCCTCTCTCTCTCTCTCTCTATATATATATATATGTATGTGTGTGTGTATACATGTTACCATTTATTTTATATGAGTACTGTTATTTACCTATTCAAGGTCAATTGAGAGTATATGACTAGGTTGTATTTGATTCAATGCCTTTATTATTATTATCATAAATACGACTGTATGACTGAATTTGGAATTCTATATTTTTAGGATATAAATACGTATATGAGATGAATGCACCCTATTTTGTTTAAGATGATAGTCTCGAAACTCTATTTATATACGAAATATAAATACGTATATATATACAAGAATAAGAATATATTCCAAAGATCACCTAAATTTAATACAAATAAATTTGTATATTTTATGTATTTCTATTAATTTAACCTTTACATTTGGTGATTTTCTATAGAATTTACATATTCATCTTATTATCGAAGGCACGAAGACCATGATGGTGGGGACTTCTGTGGGGTCACAGTCTCCTTTCGCTGTATAGAAGTTGTTTGAACTTGTTTTGGCAACTAAGCCATATATATCACATTTCCAGAGTAGGACCGTGGACGTGGTACATTCCCAGAACTCTCACCATTCTTAGCATCACATAACAGCTCGTCCAAGAGACAAGTGAAGCCCATCCTTTGACCAAACGTGTTCTAAACAGTTGCGGTACCCCCCCTTCTGCCCTGGGCTATTCACATTTCCTATATCCTCGTATCACACCTTCATTATCAAAATTTTTTACCATGCTTACTTATAGATTGTGTGTGTGTTATCTTTTAACCGGCATTCATGAAAACCCTCCACACTCCAAGCTGGCGCTCTCACACCCCTTCATCTTTGTGCTGGGAATGTCGATCAGAGTCTGTTATATTGTTACGCGATCCTCTTTCCTACCTCTCGTCTCGCAGAATCCGTCCGCTAACGGCCTGGTTCAAATATTTCACACGACCTCTGCCACCCCATCTGTACCACTTGAGGCGTTATTTCACACACTTTGCATCTGCTAGACTGACTTGATATGTATTCACACAATTTCGTTTAAGGTGATGCAGAACTGGTAGAAGAAGAATCTT